TTCCTGCAATCAAAATCAATGACATTTTAGCAGAAGTTTTTGTTTGTTTGTTTTTGTCAACAATGTCATCCTCAAAACCCTGAAAGGTTTGTTTGTCCTTCTGCGACCTTTTGATTTCTCCAAATCTGAAGGTAACTCCTATGTCTTGACTGTTGCCCCCCCCCCCATTTTATCTGCATTAAGACAAGACAGAGCTAGGAAGTAACCAATTACAAATAATGAGTTGCATGTAATTAATTCCTTCCTGCAATAACTTAGCTATACTATAAAGGGGCAGGAAAAAGAAGTACTGTATCTATTCCCGACCTTGACTCTTGTGTTTGCCTTCTTGCAACGATGCTAGTTACTTTCTAGTTACAGAGGATGTGGCCTTGTTACTTGCCATGTTTGTATCGCATGCCAGTAGCATTTAAAAAAGACTAAATGTAACTACTTCTGTTTGTAGTTGTAAAAGGAGAAAATGTTCCCAAATAATAAAGTTTTGAAAAAGGAGACCCAGCTAAATCTGCACTCCGGTACAGGATGAACTCTCTGGAAGAAGTTTTAACTTTGTTCTAGGAGAACACAAAAGGCACAGAGAAGCCCTTTCTTGACAAGGCCAGCCCAACCTTTTGTCGGAGCGAAGAAGCAGCCCTTAAATGCCGAGAGGTGCCTTTTTGTCCTGGATCCCCGAAAATAGCCTGATGCACAAAAGACCCCTCCCCATGCCATCTCACAGCTCAGTGATAAAAATTAACTTTTCCAATCCAGGTCTGTTCGTATGTGGGACTAGGAGGAGGAGTGCAATTTACCCTTTGTGCCAGACCTGCTTTCTGCTCTTTCTCTGATACAGACTGCCCTTAAATCAGTAGTGGTGCCTCGCTTAACGATTACCTTGTTAAACGATGAAACTGCTTGACGATGAAGTTTTTGCAATCGCTTTTGCGATCGCAAAATGATGTTTAGATAGGGAAATTTGTATCCTGTTCCAAGATTTCGGGGATGACACCTGCAATCAAAGGCACCTCTTTGTGATGTCACAGACGCCAGGCAGGTAAGGGGTGGGAGGAGGTAAATCAGGGTCATAACCCTTACCTGCTTGGCTTCTGTGACATCGCAGGAGAAATGAACCAGGGTTGTCTGGATTTCTGTAAAAGGAAAGCTGCTTTCCACCCTCCCTTATTTTTCTGAAAGACAAGGGGCTGCAAAGCTACTGGGGAATACCGGTTTGGTCTTGAAGAGCCATTGCAACATAGTTGTGAAAGTGTGCCTTTTTATTCCTGGTTATGTGATGCCACCTAGCTCTAGAAACTGGGATAACAAATGAGCAGAGTTAGCGATCAGAGCCAGTCCCCATAGCCGGTGGCATGAAGGTTGCCATTCAGAGAACCGATTCTTTCCAGAGAGTGGCTGGGAGGATGAAACGAGGAAAAGGAAGTTGTAAATTGCTTGGATTTTATTGGATAAAAAAAGCGGTATATAAATGCAATAAATTTCGATGAGCGAATTGTGGAAAAGGTTAACATGCCCAATGATTCCAAGCCTTGTTCCATATCAGATCTGGAACCCCTTATTGCTGCTTTAATGTGCGTGTGTGTGTGTGGAGGGGAGAAAACATAAAATAAAGAAATTAATGGTGCCAGACTATTCTCTGAGGCAAGATCTCAGAATAACGTGTCCATCTCTGGGCCCCACAATTTAAAAAGGGTATTAAGGGACATTTCCAGAGCTGAGCGACCAACCCAGCTGTAAACCAAGCTCTGTGAGGACTAGTTGAAAGCTTACAGGAGAACCATCTTTGGGTCTCTGTTCCATGGAAAATTGACAGAACCAGTTTTATGCTGATTTGTAAGACCAAATGGGACGTAGTGGCGTACGTGTCCATCTCTGGGCCCCACAATTTAAGAAGGGTATTAAGGGACATTTCCAGAGGTGAGCGGCCAACCGAGCTATAAACCAAGCCCTGTGAGGACTGGTTGAAAGCTGACAGGAGAACCATCTTTACGTCTCTGTTCCACGGAAAATTGACAGAACTGGTTTTATGCTGATTTGTAAGACCAAACGGGACGTGGTGGCGTTGCAGGTTAAACCACAGAAGCCTCTGTGCTGCAAGGTCATAAGACCAGCCGTAGTAAGATCGAAGCCACGCGACGGAGTGAGCTCCCGTCGCTTGTCCTAGCTCCTGCCAACCTAGCCATTCGAAAGCATGTAAAAATGTGAGTAGATAAATAGGTACCATCTCACCTCAGTGGGAAGGTAACGGCATTCTGTTTCTAGTTGTGCTGGCCATGTGACCACGGAAAGGATCTACAGATAAATGCTGGCTCTATGGCTTGGAGAGGGGGATGAGCACCGCGCCCTAGAGTCGGACATGACTGGACTAAATGTCGAGGGGAACCTTTACCCAAAAATAAACAGACTCAAATTACAATGAATTAGATTCAAAGGAAACATTAAGAATAACTTCCTGTGGTCGTCATTTTTTTGACAGAGGAATGTCTTTGGAAATTAGTACTCTTCTTTTTAGATGGCCATCTCTTAAGTGGTGCTTCTGGCAGCCAGTTGGACTAGATGACTTGTCAGGATCCCCTCACAGTCAACAATTCTTTGTAGATTTGAGTGTTCTGAAGCCTTAAGCCTTTGCCACAACCCACACTATCTGCATATTGTGTTTGTACATGTTACAAGACGTAGGTAGAGGAACCCTTGGCTTATTCATCTGTGACTCTACATCCATCATTGCTTTCAAAACAGCAAGCTTCTCTGTTCATTTTTGAAAGAATACAAAACCTAGAATTAAAGTGTGTGATGTTACTTCTTGATGACTCAACCCTGCTCACGTTCCCAAGGTAAAGAACAGAATTAAAGACAGAAGAGCGCAGTGCCCTACTTAGAAACCAGGCAGGGAAATGAATCCTTCCCTTGATATCATGAACAACTCATATTATTTGCAGGAAGCAAAGATGATTTTGCTCTGGGGTCATTCTGTTTTAAATCAAACTCAGATTTAAAGAGCTAATTGCTCATGTTCCCAAATGGAATTTTCCTCTACTCTATTCCTCTGTGGCTTCTTATGGGGGGAAAAGGCTTGTAAAAACTCTACAGAGAATAGTGTTGAAAAGCAGCGTATGCAATGAACAAATATTCCTTGTTTTCCACGCGTTCTTCTGAGCAACCAGACGCGAGGTTCACATAAAATATACACTCACCCATGTCAGTTTAACGACAGATGGGATTTCCGTGGCCTGTTCTGAGCTAGATGGCTGGCAGGAACATCTTGCAAGAACTCATGTCTTTCTCTAGGTACTGCGTTGACAGGTGACATACTTCCAGTCTGGATTCAAGGGGTGGGTGATGACTATTTCAAACCCGAACTGGCCTGGGACAAAAATACCTGGAAGAGCAGCCCTCCTGATGTTTACCTGCCCAAGAACTGAGACCCACCAGACGAGGAGCCCCCAGTCTTCCCGTGTGAGCAACACATTACATGAAGATGCAAGCGTGAGCCATCTTGGTCGTGGCCCACCCCGTGGAAGCCCCACGGGCGCCGACACTGGCCTCTTTGACCCACAGAGTCAAAATGTGGTTCTTTACTAATATTTCTGGGGACAACAGGTAAATGGAGTGACTAGGCTGTGGCAGTCTATTACAACATACATGGTTTTAATTTTTTAAAAGCCGTTTTAAATTGCTCACAATTTTACATGTTTAATGTACATTTTTAACAGTTTTACATTTTAATGTCTGTACCACTCCCCCAGAACTTTCAATATAGGGCAGGGCATGGGCACTTAAATAAATACGTACTACACCCCATCAGGAGCAGGTGTCCCTGAGCAAAGGGCCTCCAAATATCAGGACACAAAAGATAAATTATTTCATGCAAGTATACGATTGGCGTTGTTTTACATGCCGTCAAAGTTGCTTCCAGCTTGTGGCAACCCTATGAATGAAATATCTTCCTATTAAGAGTTCTGCTCAGGTCTTGCAAACCATGGTTTCCTGTACTGAATCAATCCATCTCATGTCTGGCCATCTTCACATCCTGCTGCCTTTTCCTATCTTTACCCACTTTTCTGTTTCAGCAAGTTTTCTTCTTAAGATAGGCCACACAACTAGATCAAGGGCATGATTTTATCTATAGTGTACTTCTTTAAGTCTGCCAGATTTATCAGAGATAACCAGCAGGTGGCATACGGCCCAAGCCACTGTGGCTTGCCTGATCTTTATTAAAAGTACAATTATGTCCTAAAGCTAGTCTGATAAACTTTCCTCTCCCTTTGGCAGTAGAGGTTAAGGAAAACAACCTGGAAGGATTCTTAGTAAAGAAAAGTGCAACACTTTACAATGAAGAAATTAGCAGGATGTAGTTTTTCAATCTTAATTCCATTTCTCTTTAGAGTTTTTCTTTCTGCTGTCTAGCCGAAACAAACGTGAATACCAAGTTTATTTGAAATTACAGACTACGGCTCACTCTGTTTACACAGGACAAGCCCACACTGTAAATAATTGTTGAACGGGTAGATACATGCCTTCTTTACTGCTCGGCTGTATCTTTCTCCCTTTCTTCCAAGTTTACTAGGCTATGGCCAACTTTAACAATTCTCCTTCTGCTGTGATGGGGCTGTGCCGCTCCTAGGCTTGGAAATACGACAGGGCAGCACCTTAGAGCCTGTGAAGTGTAATTACACAACACCAAGCTGCTTCCGACTGATGCCGACCCGTCATAGGGTTTTTGAAGCGTACCCTTCACGGAGGGATCCCTCACTGAGTTTCTACGGCCAAGCAAAGATGTGAACTCGGATCTCCCGAGTCCAACTCTGACATTCTATCCACTACACGACACGGGCTCTCCTAGCAGCAGGGACCCACTGCTGCAAACAGCTGTTTTTCATTTAATTCAGGGGATAACAAACCAATCCACGTACCTCTTCATTCCAAAGGGGGGGGGAACAAAACCCACTGTGGTTCTAACTCAACCTTCAAACATTTTTTGCCATGTCACTATCCGGAGATTGCAATAAAATATCAGAATATTCATTTATTAAAAGGGTTAGCCGAACTATATACATGTAAGCTTCAACACGAAGGTGAAACTCTGGAGTGTAGGTCGTGAAGGAAATGTAAACGAATCAAAACACTTCATCCTAATTGCAGAACGCTTCAAAGACACAACGGTTTGGTTGTTTTAAGTCTGCCGAATTCTTGTAGAAGCTATCTTGGTAGAACTGCAGGTTTATCATTTTTGACCTTTCCTTCCCCAAAGAAAACGTTGCTTGTTTAACTCTTGAGTATTAGCTGGAACGGACGAGTTAGCGGGCTCCGGAAACTAAATGAAAAGCGGCAACGGCGGCAACAGGTCAGCCAGGAAAAAGAGACAGCCTTCACTGACGTAAGATCAGATTTGCTCATCAAGAGGCTCCTGCATGTCCCAAGGTCATTACCCGTCTTTAAAGAGTGTGGCATGCTTATTTCCAACCAGGCAATCAAAGAATCAGTCTCTGGTTGATAATTTTCCTGTTTATTTCTGCCAAGGCCACCGAAAATACAAACGCTTTTTCATCAGATAGGTTTGCATACATGTCCACTTCTTTCTCCTGTTTTTCTGCAGAAGGAAGGGGGGAAAAATAAGCAGTGCATGAACATAGTATTTCTGCTCCTATTTTGCTTTGTTTTTTTCTTTTAAAGTGGAAGGACTCCTTTGTCACCCACTCATCCATCGTTCACCATGGAAGGAGCTAAAGGGCAGCCTCTTTATGCAGCTGAACTTAAAGATCAGGCAAGCTTAGGAGGTGGTAAAAGCACTTCCTGAAAGTGGCACGTAGCATAGCTTAGGGGAGCAAGGGGAAATCTGGTAGGTGGTCCATGGTTCGAGCTTTGCAGCACAGCGGTTAAAACTGCAGTCCTGCAGTCAAGACTCTGCTCACTACCTGAATTCAAACTTGACAGACTCAAGTGGCCACTTTGAGGTTGATTCATCCTTCCATCCTTCCAAGGTCAGTAAACTGAGTACCCAGCTTGGCCGGGAGGAGGGGGAATGTGTAGCCTGTATAATCATGTTGCAAACTGCCCAGAGACTTCTTTCAGCCTATGGGGCCATCTATAAGCAGTAGGCTTTGCCTTGCCAGTTAATCTTGCTCAGTGGGAGAATATGAAAGCTGCTCTAGAGCCATCATCTTCCCACTTCCCTCCAATCGTGTCCTATCCCCTGCCTTTTGCTTCTTGTGTATTTGAGTTGTCTGGTCAAGTCACACGCTGTAGAGTTAAACCTTGTTGTAATGACACACACAAGTTTAGGGGCTCGGGTGGGAAGTACAGTGGTGCCTCGCATTACGATGTTAATTCGTTCCAGCGAAATCACTGTAGAACGAAAACATCGTAAAGCGAAATTAAAAAGCCCATAGAAACGCATTAAAACCTGTTTAATGCGTTCCAATGGGCTTAAAACTCACTGTCCAGCGAAGATCCTCCATAGGGTGCCCATTTTCGCTGCCTGTCTTGCGAGGAATCCGTCCCTAAACACAGTAGGGAGCCATTTTATTTACCCGGCAGACATTCTGAAACCGCCGATCAGCTGTTGGAAAATCATCATTTTGCGAAGAATCGGTTCCCAAAGCAGGGAAACAATCATCGCAAAGCGAAATTCTCCCATAGGAAACATCGTTTTGCGATTGCAAAAAGTTCATCGTAATGCGATTTCATTGTTAAACGAAGCAATCGAGGCACCACTGTACATGTTGACTCAGGATCATGGCTGGAGCTCTTTCATGGTACATTTAAAAAACTTCTAAAACCTTTAAAGTGGTTTTTTTAAGGATCTCTCTAAAACAACTCTTGCCCTTTTCAAAGCTAAGGCATTGGTCTGTCTTACCATGGCAGGGGGAGGTAATTATGTCTTTTCCAGGCTGGGAAAGACACACAGCAACATCGTGCACACACTTGTGACACACTTCACCATGCAAAGATCAGCAAGGAAGGGCTCTGCTTCTCCTACCTCGTTCTTCTTCGTGTTTTTTGGCCGAGACAGTCTTTGGTCGTCCCCTCCCTCTTCGACTGTGGTCCGAGTGGCTGTTGGATCTGGACCGCCTCCTGTTTTCCAAGTCTCTGTTTCCCACATAGTTTATCTTCTCTCGTTTGACCCTCTCTGTCCGTCTTCTCTTAGCCTCACTTCTGATTTCTGTTCCAACACATCAGTGTCATCATCATAATTATCATTACTAATATTATCACAATTGCAAGCATTATCATTCAGCAACATTATTTTAAGAGTCTGTCCTCCTTTTTGGATACTGGACTGCACCCTAAGCTAGCTCCCCAATCCTTCCCAGTAAAAAAAAGGGGGTCCTGGATACACCATTCATTTTTAAATGGGGGAAAATGAATACAGGAGTTAAGAAGAGAAAAATGGCACAAAGCCCTTTCCGAACCTTTGAGCTTGGACAACATCATCATCATCATCATCCTCTTAGAACTGCAAGGGACCCTATGGATCATCATGTCCAGCCCCTGCAAAGGAGGCCACAGTGGGGAATTGAACCCCCAGCCTCTGCCTAAACCGCTCAGCTAACCAGCAGTTCATTTTAAGAATGAAATGTTTTCCAAGGAACTGTCAGAAACCATGACTTTGCCACATGGCAAATATGGGCAATAATCTGAACTTTTCTGAAATAAAGAGAGAGAGGCAGGAAGTTGCCATAAGCATACGGAGGAAGGACCAGCAACCCCCTTTAATACTTTCCCTCTGAGCTGCTCTATGATTTCTGTTAGAGGCAAGAGACAATCTTTTCCTACCACCGCAATAAAAGAATAGTTTCCCCCCCCCAAAACTAGCAGAATATGTGACGTCAGAAATGCCCCTAAACTGGACTGCAGACAAGGCGTAACTGAATGATCTTTTCATGCAGACAAAATCTCTTCACATGAAAAGGAAAACAAACAGCAAACAAACTAGCATTCTTCCGCCTGGCTTTAAATCTTCTCCATACTAAAAGCAAGTTATTTTTCCTTGGGTGTGGACTCAAATATTCCACCACATGCTTGTAGTTGTCTACAGAAGGAACTGTTTTAACATGCCATCTGTTGCTTCTGCAGATTACCTATTATTTTGAACGGTGGAAAATTAAGGCTGAAATCCTGTCCCTAC